TCAAGAGGGACTAGTCACTGTTATTAATAAAAGCTCTAATAGTTAAATGTATTTAGCAATTAATACATGCCAGGCACTGTGCTAAATAAACATTTTACATTTCTTCCTCACAACATCCCTGTGAGATCGTCATCATCTTATCAGCAGCAGCATTTGCCACAATTATTATTCTATCTTCCTTGAAACTCCTTCTTCCTTTCCATTCCAGGTTTTCTTTCTACCTCACTAGCCACTCCTTAATCTGCCCTTCTCCCAGACTTTTAAAATTGAAATACAACCAGTTTGGCTCAGTGGATAGAAGCGAGAGGTCCCGGGTTCGATTCCGGTCAAGGACATGTACCTTGGTTGCGGGCACATCCCCAGTAGGAGATGTGCAGGAGGCAGCTGATCGATGTTTCTCTCTCATCGATGTTTCTAACTCTCTATCCATCTACCTTCCTCTCTGTAAAAAATCAATAAAATATATTTTTAAAAAATATTGGGATTATAGACAAAGCTCCAGCACATGATTCTAATCTCAAACTCTATCCCTAGCCCTCATGGATCCTCAACCTGAACTCTGTGACTCTAGCATCTGAAGCATAAGGTTGTTTTGGTTTTTTTTGTTTTTGTTTTTTCAGAGAAACAGCATGTAGTGTAAAAAGTAAAGAATGCAGAAATGCAGAACCAGGAAAGCAGAATGCCACATATTACCTGTTTAACTTAGCATAAGAAAATATCTTTCTCTAAGACTCAGCTTTCAGTCTGTAAAATTTGAAAAATAAAACTTCCTTTTCAATAGTGGCTAGGGACTTAAAGAAAACACTGTATATAGAAATTATTTTTGAATCTATTACTTCTCTACACATGAAAGCATTTATCATTATTATCACAGATCTTAATATAAAAATATCTCTATTTTTAAGAGTTCTTAACTGTGAAACAATGTGACTATTCTCTTTCTTTTAGTAAAAAATATATTTTTATTGATTTCAGAGAGGAAGGGAGAGGGAGAGAAAGATAGAAACACCAATGATGAGAGAATCAATGATCAGCTGCCTCTTGCACACCCCCAACATGTGGTCTGACTAGGAATAGAACCATGACCTCCTGTTTCATAGGTCTACACTCAACACTGAACCACACCAGCCAAAAAACTATTCTTTTTCTTTAGTAAATTTACAGGGTCTTCTATCGTGCAATGATAGAACGGGTATATAAGACACTGAGCAGAAACACAGTGCTACAAGTTTGTGTTATTACTTTTACTTCTTATGTGATTTCCCTCTTATGTGATTACGTTTAAAAAGTTGGCTTTACATTTTTACATAAACTTAACCTTGTTTTATAAGCTTCCCTTTACTTATTTTTTAGTGATCCTTTTATTTTCCATGGCTATCGTTAATTCTAGCCATATCTAAACCTACACAGGTTAAATAAAGAACATTACACTTTGTATTTTTGCTGACTTCATAGTACTATAAATGTGACCTTGTGTTCAAGCTCATTTTAGTTCTGATTCAGTAAAGAGCGCTGAATCACTCATTGCTTTTGCCCTGATTCTATGTTTAATATTACAATGTCTGATTACAGTTATTCATCAGGAGTAGCTAGAGACAATAATGTGATTGGCTAACTCCTTTTCTAATTTAAATCTCAAATGCTGCCCTGTCCCCCACTATCCATTTTTCTCTTGACCCTGGGCAGAGCCAATTGCTATAGGATCCACATTTCTATAAGAACTTGTGCTTACTTCAAATGTAATTTCTTAACACATTGTACTGGAACTATTTATTTACTTGATTCTTCCACTACGCTTTGACCTCCTTCAGTTTTAATCATGACTGTGTCCCACTACTTTGAATCAAGAATGCTGGCTTATAAGAACAATAGCAACAACTGCTACCTTTATTCAATATCTCTCCTTATATCAGGCAAGGTTCTAATAGTTTTTACACATATTAACTTCGTTAAAAACAATTTTCTAAAAAAATGGTAAAATCATGAATCTTTTACAGGCACAAATGAATGTTAAAGATTTGATTTCATTCATCATGAAGTTATCAGACAGATGTTATAACTCATTCAAAGAAGAAGCCAAAAAAGCACTGGTGAAATACATTTACAAATACACAGAAACTAGCTTTCTCCATGGGGAAGGAGCAAAGTCATCTGAACCTCCATCTGACAGAACATATTTGTTGTCTATAGATAAGAATTATTTCACATGGTTGTAAAATAACTCCCACGGGATCAGAATCAGATGACTGGAAAGTGTGCTCTGGAACCCCGTTTTCCCTATAATATTTCAATGCTCACAAAATAGGCGATATTTGTAAAATTTAACCAAATCACTGAATTTTCCCATTAACTCTATAGAAGTTATATTTATTTCTCCTGTTTTTAACAATCACTCTCCATTTTCAATTCAACACTTGAACACTAAATATTTTGTATTGGCCTCAGTAGACAATGAGCTTTCTACCTGTTAATCTTGAACACAGGGGATGTATAAAGTAATGGAAAATGACATGTGAGATTATGCAGAACATGCTGCATATGTCAATACAGAAAAAAGAGAGAAAGATCATTGTGGGCTGGAAATTGCTAATAATTTTTGTGCAAATTCCAATATCTTATGCCAACTGTTCACTCTTTACCACTGAATGATCTTTCTCTACCCAAACGTCATGTATGCCAAATAGTTTTTATTTGCCACATCCCTTCTCTCTTTCCTTTTGAGATATATTTTGTTGTCTGACGGAACACCTCTTCCTTTATAGCACACATACTGCCCTTCAATTTCCCTCGTCAAAAACATGGCCTTTCTCAGTGTTTAACAAAGTGGCAATTTTCCCCAGAACACTCCTATGAACTTCCTTTATATATGCCCTTGGATCTGCTAAGTCACCTGGTCATGGGTGGAAATAGAAAGGCAACAGTTAAATTTGCTCCTCAACAAGTTTTCATTGTGTTCAGCCAATCAAGGTGTCAGGAACTTGCTGACTGGAATGGGTTTGACTTCGATGCTATCAGCATGAAGAAAAGAAACAGCAAGGGAGGCAATATGAAAATCCTGTTCCCTCTGCATTCTTTAAACAAACTATTTTTAGTTTGTCAACCAAGAAAATGATGTGTTCCTTTGAAGTAATCTTATAGCCTGTTGACTCAAGATAAAGAAGTAGAAAGGGAGGCCACTTAGAGAACAGGAATCAAAGTGGGAGAAACTGTCTGAAATCATCTGCACCTTCCCCAGACATTGTTAAAACCAATTACCTCTGTTGTTAGCTCTCTTGTTATTTTGGTCCTCTGTAGGTTGAAGTGGAGAAAATGTAAAGGAAAATTGAATTAGACAACTCCCTTAAGGGTAAAAAGAGCTACATGACAAATATTTAAAGTTTCCATTAAATTTAATTATAATGACTTTTATTTTTTTAAATTTATGACAATTAAACTTATAATAGAATTAAAAATATTATGCGAATATTGCTAAGTAAGGGTTAGAAATGTTGGCACACATGATAATCAGTTTACTAATTTATCATTTGTATTTTCTTGACTTTTTCATATTTTATAAATTTAGTACATTTTCTGCCATTTTCAAGCTTTTAATCTAAAGAAAATCGATCGCATGCAGAAGAATTTTGAGTCAGAGATTTTGCTGGTTTTGGCACGCACTCACAAAAAGGTTGCCCACCCCTGCTCTAGGGCTTAGCTACTGGTCCTGTTCTCTATCTAGACTCCCTGAGGCAGGTACCATTATTATATCCATTTTACAGATGAAAACATTGAGGCACAGTGAAATTCAAATCTAGATAATCAAAGACTTCAGAGTCCATTCCATGCTCTTTTTTTTTTTTAATATATCTCTATTGACTTCAGAGAGGAAGGGAGAGGGAAAGAGAGATAGAAACATCAATGATGAGAGAGAATCACTGACCGGCTGCCTCCTGCACACCCCACACTGGGGATCGAGCCCACAACCCAGGCATGTGCCCTGACCAGGAATCAAACCATGACCTCCTGATTCATAGGTCGACGCTTAACCACTGAGCCACACCGGCCGGGCCAGAGCCCATGCTCTTAACCACCTCACTATTCCACCTTATTCAGCCTTTTATATAAAAGGTAGCACATAGCTACACACATTCCACATTCTGGTGCCCTCAATAAGAAAAGAGACACAGAGAGAGGCACATGGGACCCTCCTTCATAAGACCAATATCAGGCACCAAGCCAGCAGGATACCAGTATTCTTGCAAATTCTATTAAACAATTTTCTTTCCTAAGTTTCTTCACTTTGTATTTTGGTACTTACTTCTCAAGAAGGAATGTGAAAATATTCTAGAACAGATTCTAAAATCTAGATGCTCATTACAATAACCTGGGGAGTTCTAAATACATATGGGTCTTATGCAGACCTTTAAACCTAGAAGATTCTAGCAATCTGTGTTTCTAAGAAGCACCCAAGCAAATTCTGAAGCTGATAACTCAGTACCTGAATTGGGGAAGCCTTTGTTTTAGAGAGGATTATCTTGTCCTCAAAGGCTCATTAATCACTATTACACATTTATCTGCCTTGAAGAGGCAGAAAATGAAATGAGAATGGAGGTGTAAACTGATTCCAAGGAGTAATATGACCAACCAGGAAACTACAGCAGTGACAGTGGTATTCTAGATCAGGACACCAAACATTTCTGGGTAGTCTGGGAATTTGTTGCAGGCAGCAAGAACCAATTTAATATTTGAGCCCTCATAGCATCAGAGTATTTATCAAGTATTTTGAGGAAATCCAAGAGTATTAATAGATATGGACATTGTCCCCAGGCAACAGAAGAAAGCATTGTTAACCCTGCCATTGTTAAGAAAGCATTGTTAACCCTGCCATTGTTAACTTTGCATGAACATAAATGCACACACATTTTGCTTACTTATGCAAGTAACAATCACTATGGAACCATAAGTTGCTGAAACTAAGGCAAAGAAGTCATCTTCAACATGTTTATTGAAGTCTGTCTTACCTCTGTAAGTGCATGCAATTGTCCTTGATGTACACATACACCCATGAACCTATAAAACAAAAGTGTTTTTTTAAACAAACAAAAAGGACATAAACATAACTGCCATATAGAGAAACTAGTTTAGTTATTTACGCTTTAGAAATAAGCTAATACCTGTGAAGTCTCCTGGGCTGCTATAGCTTCTCAAATTTTGATACCAGGCTATAAAAAAGTTTACATGAAACTTCTGGTTGGGTTAAGACCTAGTGGTAAAATGCAATGGTACAAGAGAGAGGGGTAAGCCTTAAAAATAGCATGGTATAATGAAAAAAGTACCAAACTGGAAGTAAAAAAACTTGAATGCTGATTTCAGCTCTGCCACTATCTAACTACACGTTCACCACACCACCACCAAAAAAAGTCACTAACCCTAATCCTATTTTGGGCTTGGTTTCCTCATCTAGAAAGTAAGCAGGATAGACTACCCAATCTGAAGGTCTATATTCTACAAACAAACTGGGGTGGGGGGAGAAGGGGTAGCCCACATTTGCTGAATGACAAAGAACTAACTTCCTTAACATAAAAAACTTCCAAATATGTAATAAAAAAAGAACCTAATTTTTTTTAAAAAGCAAATGGTATGTACATAATTCACAGAAAAATAAGTTTAAATGACTAATAAAAATATCAAAATGTGCTCAAATTTACTCATAATTAAAGAAATGTACATTAAAATAAGGAGATATTGCTTTTCTTGATATACTGCTTTTGAAATCTATCAAATGAACAAAGATTAAAATTCATAGTGTAAAGAAGGTGAGAAAACATGAACAGAAAACACTGTTGAGTACTAGGCATAATTTTTCAAATGGTAATTGATCATATCTAGCAAAAATCTTAATTGCTGCAACTATCTCATTTCTAGTAATTTATCTTACAATTATACTGCTTGAGTGAGCAAAGATACATGTAAACGGATATCTACTTCATCAGTATATATGAATCTAAAACCCTCCAATAAGAAACTGGTTAAATATTTGTGGTATATCCCTAGATTGGAAAACTATACAGCCATCAAAAAAAAATGAAATAGACCTTTATGCACTGATATGGGAAGATATCTAAAATATACTGTTAAATGAAAACACTGAGCTATAAATCCCGTTTGTGTAAAAATGTTTGTATATTGTCTGGCCAGTGTGGCTTAGTGGTTGAGTGTCAACTCATGAACCAGGAGGTCACAGTTCAATTCCCAGTCAGGGAACATGCTAGGGTTGTGGGCTCGATCCCCAATAGGAGGCATATAGGCAGCCGATGGATGCTTCTCTCTCATCAATGTTTCTATCTCTCTCCCTCTCTCTGAAATCAATAAAAACACATTTTTTAAAAAGTTTGCATATTAATTTAAAATGTCTAGAAACAGTAATAAGTGGTACTGAGGGGGTAAAAAGTGACTTTATTTTTAGTGTGCACACATATTATATTTGAAGTTTTTTTCAGCCAACAAGTTATACTTACATATAAAAAATTTTTTTGCTTTTTTTATTGCTTAAAATATTACAAAGAGTAGTACATTTGTCTCCTTTTTTTAATTTTTAAAAATTTATTGATTTTAGAGAGAGAGAGAGAAACATCGATTTGTTGTTCCACTTATTTATGTGCCCTGACCAGGGACTGAACCTGCAACCTTGGCATATTGAGATGACGCTCTAACCAACTGAGCTACCCAGCCAGAGCCTAACTTAATTTTTAAATAAAAACTATAAACCAATGATTATGACTGATGATCATAAAATGGGGGAAGTAAAAAAATAAATAAATAAAAAATAAAGTGGGAGAAGTCAAATGTCATAAAGCCTGTGACAATTGGGGTTTGGGTTGCCAAGAAGGAAGTCTCACTAATAATACACATAAGCCTCAAATAAGTTCTAGTTTAGAAGAACAAAGAAAAGGGAAGAGGACTATCTATAAGTGAAAATGTTGGCACAGCAGTGACAGTGCTGGAAAGGACCATAAAAGTTTCATGAAGGCAGAGTCCAGGTCATATTCTTCTCTGTGATCACAGCACCTAATAGCACCTACCAAATACTATGCACATTCAGTAAACAACTGTTGAGTGAAAGGACTGAATGAGAAATAATGCCTGGTTGGATATAACTGCAGAGTTTTTATTGTTTGTTTGTTTTTAATATATTTTTATTGATTTCAAGCAGAGTTTTTATTGTTTGTTTGTTTGTTTTTAATATATTTTTATTGATTTCAGAGAGGAAGGGAGAGGGAGAGAGATAGAAACATCAATGATGAGAGAGAATCATTGATTGGCTGCTTCCTGAATGCCTCCTACTGGGGATCATGTGCCCTTGACCGGAATAGAACCTGAGACCCTTCAGTCCGCAGGCTGACATTCTATCCATGGAGCCAAACCAGCTAGGGCACCAGACATGCTGCTTCAACCAAAATTAACATATATGGAAATTTCAGAGTTTCTCTAGGATGTGATTTCTGGACCACTGTGTTTATGTTTTCTTTCTTTCCTTTCTTTTAAAATCCTCACCTATTGATAAGTTTTTTATTGATTATAAAGAGTGATGAAGGGAGAAAGAGAGAGAGAAACATCAATGTGAGAGAAACATCAATTGTGGCCTCCCGCAAACGTCCCAACCAGGGATTGAACCTGCAACCTAGGTATGTGCCCCAACGGGGAATCGAACCTGCAACCTCCTGTTTTATGGGATGGTGCTCCAACCAACTGAGTCATCCAGCCAAAGGTGACCACTGGTTTTTTCTAAGTGCATCCAGAGACTTGGTGGGATTTGAGAAAAGAAGAACCTGAGGAAAGATCTAGGCAGTACTGAAAATAGAATGTAAACTCCAATAACTAGCTGAAATTTACCTCTGGCTTGGTAAGAAATGGAAAGCAAAATAGGAGAATGGTTAAAAGGGCTCTGAAGTTAGAGGGTATGGGTTCAAATCTCACCTCCACCCTTTACTTGGCAAGCATTAGTTTCCCTCTCTGTAAAATCTATATATATAAAAGGCTAGTATGCTAAGTATCTGTCTGGGTAATGACGTCAGGTAGCAACGCCTGGCTTCCTCTCCCTCGTGACTAGTTTCCTTGCAGTTTCTTCAGCCCAGGAACACAACTTGCTTTATAGCCAGGTAGAAACATTTTACACTTTAACCAAATGTCTATGAAGCATTTTTCCCGTGCCTCATCTCATTTGATCCTCACAGAAGTCCTGGAGTAGTTAGATAGGAGAGGGGAATGACATCAGGTAGCAACGCCTGGCTTCCTCTCCCTCGTGACTAGTTTCCTTGCAGTTTCTTCAGCCCAGGAACACAACTTGCTTTATAGCCAGGTAGAAACATTTTACACTTTAACCAAATGTCTATGAAGCATTTTTCCCGTGCCTCATCTCATTTGATCCTCACAGAAGTCCTGGAGTAGTTAGATAGGAGACTCGGTGGAATTCTATTTTCCTTTCATCAGCCAGAAAATGAAGATTTACAAAGCTTAGAAACTTGACCCAACTGAAAAGAAGAAATGGTGGACCTTGAAAATGACTTCAGGTTTTCTCACTGCACAGAATATAGTCAAACACTGCTGCAGTTAAATATTTTACCCTATGTTTTCCCAGTATGATCTACAACAGGGGTCCTCAAACTATGGCCCGCGGGCCACGTGCAAATACAAATATTGTATTTGTTCCCGTTTTGTTTTTTTACTTCAAAATAAGATGTGTGCAGTGTGCATAGGAATTTGTTCATAGTTTTTTTTTAAACTATAGTCCGGCCCTCCAACGGTCTGAGGGACAGTGAACTGGCCCCCTGTTTAAAAAGTTTGAGGACCCCTGGTGTAGATCAAAACCTGGGTTTTCTTCACATCCAGTAAAAGGGCAGAGGAAGAATCGATTTTAAGAAAAAAGTTGGGGTGCTTCACTGGGCTGGAAAAAGTTTAGCTAAATCAGAAAACAGGTCTAATTAAGCAAGTTTATATATATAAAAGGCTAAGTTGATTTGTGCATGCTTGATACATATAAAGCTCTAGCTGGCGCCAATTGCACACGTGTGTTTTTATCTGTCATTGTCGATTATGAATTTGGTTGACACTTCTAAGAGTGAATAGCGATATTAAAATATTTCTTCTAATTAATTTCCTTTCGATGTGCATGAATTCGTGCACCAGGCCACTAGTAGGATAATAACCCACATCACTTTTTTGTACCTTTCCTTATTGCAGAAGATTCAGAGTTTTATTTATCTCTGCATTTCTAGTATCTAGTATAGCATCTGGCACACAGTAAGCAAACTCTCAGTAAAGATTTGTTGAATGGCATGAATGATTTTTATGACCTGGAAACTTTAGTTCAAGCTTCTCCCTGAGCTGGAAGATTTTACTTACTTACTGAAGATCAGTCTTCCAGAATCAGCTAAAAGTGGTCCAGGGTCTGGAATCAGACTGCTTGGATTTGAATCCTGGCTCTGCTACTTACTGATGACTTCTATATATTTCAGGTTCTTCACATGCAAAGTGGAAATATTAATGTTAACTAACCTATATGGTTACTGTGAAGATGAAATGAGGTAACTTGGGCTCCTGGAACATAATAAGCACTAGAAAATGTTAGCTATTCTTCCTCTTTTAACATTTCCTCCAAACTGTAATATAGGAAAGATTTTCAAGAGTACAGATCTCATCTCATCTGTTCATATATGTTTTGCCTGAAACACAATGCTTTGCACCTAAGAGGCTAAAAAACCATTTCTTGAATGGAAAAAAAAAACAATAACCATCAAGTTAGCTTCATGGTGTAAACTCATTTTATAAGAAAAAAACACTTAGAGGCAGGTACAAGGCTGGAAAGCCAAGAGGTATTTATTTTATTAAGTAAATTATTTATATAGAAGCTAGGCAGTAGGATTCTAATAGCAAAACAATGGCTACACTCTAAAGTAATGGGACTCCTAGAAGCTGAAAAGACCTGGCTTCAGTGTGATATACCTGCTTCCCTTCCCCCCAGACCCACAATCACTATGACCACATCACCCACAGAGGCATCACAGACAGCA